AGAAAATGCTACATAACATAACATTTTTGAGAAAAAACTTGCAATAAAATTATATTTCTCAACCGAAAATCAGTAACAAAAATAATAAACTAAATGGAAAGAAAAATTGCCCACAGGTTTGCAGCAGCACTCAAGGACCTCAAAGTATGGGTAATGAATGTGGTTAACACAGACTCACCAGACACACTCCCCATAATTTACGAGAGGGGCCTTTTCGGAATTTACCACGACTGGTGCGAATCCTTCAGCACCTATCCACGAACGTACGATCTTCTACACGCCGACCATCTTTTCTCTACTCTTAAAAAGAGGTACCCAATTCTACTTATTATACATTTATATTATTATTATATACGAACACAAATTTTAAACCGCATTTACTCGAAGGTGCAAGCTAGTAATAGTGATTGCCGAGGTCGACCGAATAGTGAGGCCCGGAGGCAAATTGATCGTGAGGGATGACTCGAACACGATTGGAGAGATTGAGGACTTGCTAAAGTCTCTGCATTGGGAAGTGTACTTTCCGAAAAACCAACATGGGATGCTTGGGGCTCAGAAGTCCGAGTGGCGGCCCAATTCGTACGCGGGCCCTTCTTGAATTGGGCTATGGTTCGGGCCCTTTTTTTAACTTTGTAGTAGAAATTTTCGTTATTTTTATTCCCAAAGCACGACAGGATATATAGGCTTGTTGTAGTTCGGTGTAGCTTATCTTACAGACAATGTTATATAGTTTTACGATATAACTGGAAACTTTCTAGGAGGTGTTTTGGATTGAAAGGTGAGGTTGGTTAAACTAGAAGCAGTAGTGATCATATCTGAAGTATTGTGATTTGTTTACTAGATTGGTGAATTCTAAACTATTCAAGGGGTCACCACATTGTAAATGAGGTGAAAATATGACAGAATTGAGCACACAGGAGTTAAAATCCACATTGAGATGAAATTTAACAAGGGCCGTTCAAAGGGTTCAGTGAGTGAGGACACTGTAAACAATGTTGTAAGAAAAAATTTCATTTCAGAGTCTTGGGTACAGGGGTTTCACATTCCAACGTATAACTCAAAACTCCATACTTGTTAACACATTAAAAAATTACAGAAAAAAAAAGCAGGAGAAAGAGAAAAAGAGAAAGCACCTATTTTCACTATCTATTAGCAAATTTTGCAAAGTAATGCCAGTTTACCGAAATCAAGATTACAAAACAAATAAACAAAAGAAACTGTCACCTCCATTTATATTTGCAAGACAAATAAACAAAAGCAATGTCATGTCAGAATCAATTCGGAAAAATAGTTAAGGGGGAAGCTCAAAATGATAACTCAGGTAAAAGAAAAAAGTTATCAAAATTCATGAACCTAAAGAAGAAGAAGAAACACGTTGAATTAAGTAAATATGAGTGAAAACCTGTTTGAATCGATTTACCTTGCTTAACATGTAGATAGGATTCAAGCAAACCACCTCTTGGTCGAGTGATTTTGCGGGGATATGTTTAAAGGGAAATGAAACAAGATACAGGATTTGGAGATAAAATTTTTTAGATTTGTTTGGATTTTTTTGGTTTGGTTTGGTTAATTTTGAAAAAAGTGGTATGGTTAGTTGTTAGTGGTATATTAAAATAATATTTAAAATAAAATAATTAAAATTGATTTAATGTAAAAGTATGAGAGAAATGATTTGAAGTGATAGTTAGTTAAAATTATGTGAGAAGATGAATAGTGAATTAAGATTGATGTGATGTGTAAGAATGATTGGTTGATATTATTTAATTATATTAATAATATTAATATTAGTTGGATTGAGTTAAAAAAAATGGTTGAATTAAAAGTATTTAGATTTTTTGGAAGTTTTGTATCCAAGCATCCTAGAAAACTTCGCTTCAATTAAATTCTTGATTGGGAAAAGAAAACCAAGATTTTTTTAATTTGTAAATAAAAATGAAGAATGTTGTATAGAAAATGGTTTTATTGCATTAAATCTCATGTATTATACTAAATATATGCGTTATTTCTCTGTATTTTAAAAATTGCGCCATATCCATTTATATTTAATGTCTTCATGTAAACTCGTCGTTTTTTGTTAACGGCGGTGTTACTTTTTTGTTGATTTTGTCATTATACCCTAAATTACACTAAATATTTTGTTTGATTTTACCATTATACCCTATATTATACTAAATATGCATGTTATCTTTTTGTATTTTATAAATTGCGTCACAGCCGCACTCGCCATTTTTTGTTAATGGGTCTTCATGCACACTCGTCATTTTCTGTTAAATTACTAACGGTATTATTTTTTCGTTGATTTTACTATTATATCCTTCCTTTATCATTAATTTTACCATTATAACCTTCAGTCAATATGTTGACTTTAAATAACATCCCAATTGTGAGGATTGAACCTGCAACCTTTGGGTTATAAAAAGCAACTCTCTTCAACTAGGCTTTTAGGCATTTAATTATAAATGTGATGGTTGGCATCTAAGTTAGTAAGTATAGGTCTCGAACCTGATCCTCCTCATAAAACGGCTTATCGAACTATGTGACCCTAAAAACAAATGTCTAATGATGACCGATGGGATGTACCCACCAACTCTGCAAACCCATGACCCATAGGCGCGTAGGGTGGCATGTCCTCATTAAATGCCCGTCAATCAACGTTAAATAGCCGATAATCACCATTTAAAGTCAGCCATGCAACATTTAATGGTTATCATTCTGAATCACTGTGCAACATGGCTCGGTGAACAGTAGAGGAATAGTGACCAGGAATATGTGGCTATAAATAGCCATAGGTTTCATTTATGGCGGGCAAGAGAAAGAATAAACCAATAAAATAGAGAAAAAAATCTCTCTCTACATTAATTGTAAGAAAAAACAACAATCATTCGTAATAAATTCAGACAACACAACCTTAGGATTCAGTCTCAAAGCATTCAGAAGCCGACCTCATTCAAAACTCTCCATTTCAATCAGAAAACCTTCCATTTTCGCGATTTTATTTTTCTGATCTATAGTTAACTCCTAGTTAACCGTTGATACAAATCTACATATTCACAGTTTGGTGCTAGAAAGAAGGCTCCATAATTTTTTTAGAGTCAATTTTCGAACTTATGAACACACGAAAATCTTCTTTTCCCTTTTTCGGCGAAGGAATCAATGGAAATGCTGCTATCTCCAAGTCAGGAGGCTAATTCTCAACCACTAAACGCCGCGCGACCAGCTGCGGTGGCCCCCGCCGTAGATTTCACGACATTTATTTTTATTTTGTGGATTGTTGAAAAACTGATGGGAATGGGAGGGAGAAAGAAGAAAGGGACGCTTATTTTTAACGTTATTTTGTTTTTATTTTGTTGGTAATGTAAAATTGTTTTCATGTTGTTCAATTATTGTAATGGTGTTTTTTTTTGTTGTTGTGTCATTCACTATTTCATATATTTGTTATTTTGACTTAAATATAACATGGTGTTTTTGTCTTTTCACTTTCGAACTTTATTCTTTGTTTCTATTTTTTTTATTTTTTTCCTTAATTATGAAAGTAGAATTGTTAATAACCAGTATCAGTTAATTTTCAAATTTGAATTGATTTGTAACTTCTAATTTTAAATTTGTTTTTTTTTTTTTCATAAAAAAGGAACAATTTTTTTTTTCTATTTTTTCTGTTTTTTCTTTTTATTTTTTTATAAGAAATGTGTTAGTTTTAGAATTCTTATTTTTTCCCCTTCCTTTATGGAACTTTTTTGATAATAATACATGGACAGTTATGTGCACTAGCCGTTGATACTGATTCCGTGGAATTTGGGCCGTTTTTCAATTGACCCAACATGTGGCCCGGCTGACCCGATTGCCCCGATGGTTGACCTAATCGACCCTGTAGGTCAACCCAATTTTTTTCCTCTTAAANGTTTTCACGCAGCGTTCATGTGAATCTGTGGTTGTGCTCTTAATTGTTCTGTGCTGTTTACTTTCTTGGTTGTCAATTTGAGTGTGGGTCGATCTTATTTGCCAATTTCTAACGCGAAGATTCTGTTGGTGACGAACTTATTGTGAAAGATCAATTTTTGGACGCCAAAATCTGTTTCAATTGCATGTATTTTTCCTTGAACAAATTTATTCGAATCGAAAGTTGGCGATTTCTCTGTTTTGTGATTACTTGTTTGTTTGTTTGTTTGGTTCTCTATTTCCGCTCATGCAGTTTCTTTACTTCGGCCTGATGCTTAAATGGGTTTTTGATTTCGTGTTGTTTTCTCTATAGGGTTTATCGTATTTCGTTTGAGGAAAATCACATTTGAGAAAATAATGGTGACTGGAAATAAAAAGGCGCAGGTTGATGGGGACGCTGGTGTGGATATATTTGACGAGGAAGAATGGTACTTTGTGGAAAAGGATAGTGAGGAAGAGAAGTGCGAGAGCTTCTCAAGCTTGATTGATGATGATGATGTTGATGCTGATGGTAATGATGATGGTGATGGTGATGATGGGGATGTTGATGATGATGATGTTGATGATGGTGATGTTGTTAATGATGATGATGATGATGGTGGTGATGATGATGTTGCTGATTATGATGATGATGATGGTGTTAAATCTCTTCAGGTTAACGTAATCTTGTTTTCTTGTATTTGTTCTTTTTTTTTCTTGGGCACTTAAGAAAGAATTTATCTTGTTTTAAAATCTTTTTGGGTTATACAAAATACAACTTTCCTTAAACAAAGCTCGTCTGTGGTTTACTGTGTCCATGTTACGCATCTTGGAACTAAAGCATGATGAACAGTGAGTTATGTTACTGCAGACAAACATGTTATGTGACTAAGTAGAATTCTCTACTTGCATTCGGTAATTAAAATCTGAAATGACAATTTTGTGTATTGTGCGAACCTGATTCTGTACGTATCTCTCGAGGATTGATTGCTATGGGGTTTATGGAAAGTTGATGTTCACCATAATCTTTAACTCCTAATTCCTCTGTTTGGCGTAGATGTCTGATCATTCTTGTATTTGTTTTAACTTTTTTTTATTTTATTTTATTTTATGCTTGAAAAATCTGTGGAACTTGATTTATTCTCTATAATGCAATGTTGTGGGCAACTTCTTTGTTCCAGTATGTTGGATGGTACACTTTTTGCGGCACAACTTTCTCTTGATTGAAAATTTTTCAATGCACTATACGATTTATTGAGTTCTTTAATCAGCAATTTTCCTTTCAACTTTATCCTTCATCAGGTATTTATTTGTGACAGTGACATGCCAACATATTTAAGTATCATATTACACATACATATACACAATCTTTGAGAACTCTGATCATCTTGTTCGACGCATTTCACTTTCCCCTACTGTCACATTGATTTATTCTTTTGATGGAAATGTTTATCAAGTCTTAAGTATCAGTACATACATAAAATCCAATGCTAACCTCAAAAATTCTGTTATTCAATCATCTTCTATTCATTGCAGATTCCATATTTTCCACCTCGATCTACAGTTAAGTCATCATCATCAATGCCCCCCCTTATTTGTTTTTCACCCGAAAGGAAGATACCTCCAGCCATATATATCAAAGATCCGATAATCCAACAAATCCTCCCTTACCTCCCAGCCAAATCCCTCATGAGGTTCAGATCCGTCTCCAAGCGCTGGGACCGCTGGATCAGAAGCCCAATCCTCTCACACCACCAGGCACAAACCCACAAGCCCATCACAGGCTTCTTCTGCCAGTCCCACTACTCAAGGCCCACCTTCTTCACTCTCGACCAATCCTCTTGCGGCATCCCCTCCCACTCCTTCTCATTCCTCCCCGACTCCACCTATTTAGTAGCCTCGACCCACGGCCTCCTCGTCTTCCTCCCTCACTTCGGGCCAGACATCTACTACATATGCAACCCCGTGACGCGGGCCTTTCGGGCCCTCCCAAGGCCCGGTCTCTACCACGGGCTCAATTCTGCCTGCGTCCTCGCGTTCGACTCTGCCCCTGAAAACATCGAGTCCTACTATCAGCTCGTGTGCGCCGTGCCCCTTGTTGGCCAGCCTGTCGTGTGCTTCGAGACGTATTCGTCAGAGACGGGCTTATGGACGCGCTCGAATGCCGTGTGTACTGAAATTGGCCCGTATGAATATTTTGGAACGGGACTTTACATGAAAGGGGTGGCTTATTGGCGCACGTCTGGCGGGAAGTTGGTGGCTTTCGACACTAAATTTGATGTGTGTGAGGTTTTGGTGCTGCCTGAGGGGAGTCCGGTTCGTGGGGTCCTGGTGGAGATGGAAGGGGAGATTGCTTATGTTGGGATTTGTGAGGTGAGTGGGGTGGGATATGTGGTGAAGATTTATTATGGGGTGGAGATGAGATTGGTGAAGGAGGTGAAGTGGTGCCTGGAGAATGTGGGTTGTTTTGGGGGGAATTATGGGGTTTTGCCTTATTATGAGAAGGGGAGGTTGCTGGTGATGGTTGGGGGAATGGTGTATTGGTGTGGGATGAGAGATGAGAGGTTTGAGAAGGTGGTGGGCTGCGAGGTATCTGAGTCGACTGTGCATCATAGGATTTTCCCGTATGTTAACAGCTTGGTTTACTTGAGTTGAGTTGTCTGTTTCTTCGGATTTGGGTTGCTCGGTTTT